GAACCATGTCCATAGGAAATAATGGGATTTCATTTGCTGGGCGTTTTACAGCGCGTCGATCAGCGCTGTAAAACGCCCAGGTGTGAATCCGGCCTTAATGGCTCTAAAATTATTGCTCTCACTCTGACGTTTGCGGCAATATGCAACATGTGCGGCATATATGCGTGTGTATGTCGGGGGCGGGGACTTAAAAAAAATTTTTACTCTTCTTTATTTTTTTAAATGAATCTTTCATTTTTGTATCACTTTTTTTTTTTTACACACAACTTTATTGCTATTACATGGGGGGCTAAGAAGAAGCCCCCTATGGGATAGCCAATTTACATGACAGGTCCTCTTTATGGAGACATCAGGGGTCTCCAAGACCCCTAATGTCACCTAAGGACCTCCAGAGAAGCTGATGAAGCAGAGATCGGCTTCAGCAGCTTCTGTAGCTGGAGTGACACTGAATGCAGGAAGTGATGTAATATACATCACTTCCTGCATTCAAAGGGAGTTTGTGTACTGAACTCCCTTTGATCTCCTGTCACAGAGCCGTGCCGGTCCCGACCGCATCGGGCACAGCGGATCTCGGGACCAGCAACGGCAGTGACAGCTGCTAAAACAAGCGATGGAGTGTCTCTCGAGACGCTCGATCGCTTGACTTGCCGCTTGCCGGGAAGCTGCACGTCGGGCTCCACCGTCCTCTCGTCGCAGACGAGTGGATTTTTCAAGCCATGTATGTATGTATGTGTATATATACAGTTTTTTTGTCTCTCATAGTTGAGGTCTACCTATGATGCCAATTACAGGCCTCATCTTTTTAAGTGGGAGAACTTGCACAATTGGTGGCTGACTAAATACTTTTTTGCCCCACTGTAATATATATATATATATATATAATGTGTGGGTATATGTATACACATTGCGGTTCTGCGGTTGAAAAGCATAAGGGTGTACCACTATCTGGACGATGTCCTTCTGCTAGCCCAGTCGCGACAGCAGATACTGCAACACACACAGATAGTCCTGACTATGTTCAAGAATTATGGTTGGCTGGTGAACTGGCAAAAAAGTCAGCTGGTTCCGGCACAGGCACTACTATACCTGGGCATGGTGTTTGACTCGGTACGGGCAAAGATATTTTTACAGAAGAAGATCCGTCGCATTGTCCACCTGGCTTGCCTCATCATGGGTGCTTCAACCTGCTCAGCACAAAGGTGCCTCAGCTTCTTGGGAGTCCTCTCCTCTTCAATTCCAGCAGTCCCTTGGGCGCATTGGCACATGCGCCACATTCAGTACTCCTCCTTTCTCCATCAGTGGGACAAGCAGTCCCTGGTTCAGTTGGTTTTTCTCCCATTGCTTTTCAGAAACAGTCAGAAGTGGTGGGAAAGATCTCCAGCCTGGCGATTGGATCATGATTACTTCTGATGCCAGCCAGAAGGGTTGGGGAGGCCACTGCTTGGGACACCGCATTCAGGCCAGATGACAGTCGGGGACCCAGTCATTCAAACGAGTTGGAATTGCAGGCAGCTTTCGAGGCTCTCAAGGCCTTTCTCCAAGTGATCAAAGGTCGCCGGGTGAAGCTCAGAATGGACAAGACGGCAGTGTCCCATATCGTTCGGCAGGGCGGTACAAAGAGTCGCTCCCTGTTGGGGATTACAGCAGCCCTGTTTCCTTGGGCAGAACAACACCTTTTGGACCTGACGGCCTCGTATCTACCGGGCAACCGCTAACACATTCTCCAACGGAGAATGTGTTAGCGGACCACTTGAGTCTGCAGTTTCTGGACCCTCACGAGTGACCCACTGTTGCGAGTATGGGGTACTCCACAAGTGGACCTCATGGCATCCAGGGTCAATTATCAGCTTCCCGTTTTCTTCACCCGTTACTTTTGTCTGGAGGCTCTCGGGCAGGACGCCCTGTCTCTCCCTTGGCGGTTCAACAGTGTGTATGTATTTCCTCCAACTCCGTTAATCTTGAGAACTCTCCAAAGGTACTCACCTCTACGCCGGCTTCCGAGAGTTCCGTGGGAGATCCGGTGACGTCACGGACATCGAGTTCACTGGACTCCTCCCCCTTCCCCAAGTGACTCCATCGGCTTACGTAGGGAAGGGGGGAGGAGTCTGGTGAAGTCGCTGTCTGTGACGTCACCGCACTCCTCCTTCCCTTCGTTAGCCGTGGAGTTCCGCCTGTGTGTAGGCCCAGTGAGGAAGCAGAGGGCCCGCAGCTCCTTCAAGCAAATCCCCCTCCCTCCCCCGCCGCTCTGCCACCCGTAGCAGTAGA